ATGCCTTATTTTGGGCTGCCTTCTAGCTTCTATAGAAATGGACCACATCGATGAAGGGACATCATTCATGGTATTTTAACATAACATGGACTTCTCAGCTGCAGCGCTGCTGACATTTTGATTGTTGTAGGGGTCTGGCCTGAGCGTTGCAGGATATGTACCAGCATCTCTAGCCTCTGCCTAACACAGGCTAGCACTATTCCGGCTTCCCAACCATGATTAATAAAACTGTCTCTAGACATTGCTAAATGTTCCCTGGGGGTGAAATCATCCCGGTTGATAATTATTGGTCTAGAGAAAAATAAATTAGCTTTTTGGCATCAAAGTCAAGTTCAAATCTTGCTATGACCATAGTCATGTGATTGTGGAAATGCTACTCTTTCTGCCTTCAATTCCCTCATTACACAACAGGGAGTAACCTAGGTCTTGTTAAGATTACTGTAAGGAGCAGGAGATAAAGTATATGAAGCATCAGGCAAAGTCCCTGGCACACAGAAGGCAAATAAGAAATAGTCGTAATAGCAGTGGGACCAAAGAGAGTGGTGGTTTTAATAGCAGTTCTTATTAATGATGTCGATATTATTTTACTATTAGAAATAAAGCCTAATTAATGCTTCCATGTGACAAAGAAAAGGAATTACTACAATTACATTACTAGACACAGTTCCTCTAAGAATTCTCTTCTAATTCTTTAAGTCTCAATTTGGAGCCCATTTTTTTTTTGCCAGAGCCTTACACACTTGGCACAAATTGTTTTATGTACTTGTCTGTTTTATCTACCTCAACTACCAACTTCCAGAAGTCCATTTTTTTCACCTCATATCCTCATCAATTAGCAAGGTTGTTCTTCAAGAAACAATTTGTGAAAGACTTTCCTTTTTAACAATGGGTTACTTTAAGGGTCAAATTCAAGTGAGGACTGCATTACATATGAGGAGATATGTCCCCGCCTGTAAGACAGTCTAAGTATGAGCTATGGAATCAGATGGTGTGGGTTTAATCATGTATCACCACTTACTTTGCAACTTTTATAGAGCAAGTTAGGCAATCCCATGAGCTCAACTAGCTCATATGACAAAGGGAAAATAAATGATAGTATGTAAAAAGCTGCTTTGAGAGCTAAGTATTAGATAAAATATAAAAATCTATTCTTGGGTCCACAGCTAACTCTTCTTGAGTGTTCTGAGGCTCAGGTTTCCCATACAGAATGAGGTTGCACATACCTGTCCTAACCGCACTACAAAGTTGCTGCGAGGAGTAAACACAGATATACTTCATAAATGTAAAGGCTAGAAAGTTAACAGCTTATGGGGGGTAGGGGTGTTCCTGGTCAAACATACTACCTTTTATATATACAATGCTTATAAATAAACACTCTCCAGATCAAGTTATCTAGAGTTGCTGCCCATCCACCCTCTCTGCTAGAACACTGATAATGGTGAGACAAGAAACTGGTCGGTTTTATTGCTCACGGGACAAGACTGTGCTTTGCTTCATGAGGGCACAAAGCAGAAGCTCATTTTCAGCCAGCTAAATTAATTCTTCTGCCATTAAAAAAGAAAAAGACAAACATTAAAAATCCTCATTTCAGTTTGAGTGTGCAATTCAGATGAGCAATTTAAGCCAATTCAACATCTGGCCCAGATGAGCAATTTAAGCCAATTCAATGTCTGGCAAAAAATCCAGGATTGGTGAGCAAAGAGTCTGCTAAACCTAGCCAGAAAATTTGCTCTTGACCAAAATCTGCTAATGTGATGAGAACACAAATGATGGAGATTTCCAGACATCTAAGAGTAGTTCAGAGAGAGCACAAAACAAATTCTGTTGCTCCTGGAAAACTGAGCAGGGTATAATTACTGCATAGGGACAGTTGCCTCTGTATGAGAGAGGCTGCTGTATCTCTCAGCCAAAACTCTCATCTCACATGGAGGAAATGCCATTTGATCATTCACTCACACACTAATATGCACATGACAAGGGTTCTCCACGTGCAAAGTACTGTAAAAGCTGTGGGATATGAATGGCAATGTGCTAAACCAGCTTATGAATTCATAGATGAGACAATTTTGCCCATATAGATCTACAAATACAAGCCACAGTTAGAAAAAAGGAGTGTTAAAGTTAGCTTGAGAAGTTAGAGAAGTCTCCGCCAAGAAGATGACACCATCTTCAAGATTTGATGTATAACCATAAGTGTTTCATAGAGAAGAGGAACTGACAGGAGAAGGGCCTGTGAGAAATTAGGTTGTTATTGCCTTTCGGGACAGTTGGGGTGCTGGAGCCAAGAACAGACCTGGAACAAAGTTAATGCTATTTTTAAAAGCTAGAAAAATATCAGCAGCAGGAGCAGTGGCCAGAACCACCCCCACAGAGTGCAAACAAAGCTAGTCCTATCTTTCTCTGTCTGCTGGGGAATTCACTAACCAGCACCTTAAGAACAAAATGTTCTTTTATCTTTGATTTGTATTCCCACAAAGTCCTTCCTCCTATGTCTCCAGAGCTGGAAAAAGCATGAGTTGAGCTGTATTTGCTTCTTTGATCTTCATCCTCTCTTTGAAGGCTGGTTCTGGGAATGAGTGTCCAGAGGCATTTCTCCAAAACGGAGTGCTAACCCTCCTCCTTCTCAGAGTGTAGGGTGCAACATGAACATGCCAGAACAGCACCTGAAGGGGCCACATTGGTCAGGGCTTGTTTTTGAAAGGCCTAGAGGGCCTCTATGTCTCACCCCAAAGCTGAGTTTGCACTGACCATCAGGGATCTCTTGGCACAGAGTTCATCTAACCAGCTCTGGGCACCATTCCTGACCTCCAGCTACACAGAATCTTAAGGTAGTGAATCCTGCACTGTGGTACAGAGAACTGGAGAAAAAGTCAGTGCAAATGCAGAGAAGGCAAAGAGAGTCCAGAGCCTTGGGTCTTTCTTCACTTGCCTTAGGTGGGAAAAGACAGTTCTGATAGACATTTCCTACCAAAGTGGTAACTCAGATAGCTTCATTTATGAAGCTCCTACTTTGTGTCAGGTACTATAGTCTTGGATGAGAAAACCAAAGAGAAAGGCCTCATTATTGTATGTACTATGTGCCAGACACAATGCTATCCACTGTAACAATTTATATCATCATTCTCATAATAATCCTGCAAAGGAGCCCTGCAAGCTCTTCTCACAAAAGAAGAAATGAACACACTAAGAGGCATCCTATTTGTAGACAGACAGGAATTTAATCTTGATCTCCAGACACAATAGGTCTCAGGGGCTTCTCCCGAGAAACCAGTACTATCAAGTTACAATCACTCAGGCCAGCAGAGGACAATGAGAATTTTCTCTCTGAGAGGAGTGGGACTTTGTCAGATCTGTTCACTGTTCAAAACCGCCAGTGTCTAGGACCCATAGCTGATAGGTTTTTGTGCACTTGATCCTTGTCTTAGAGCCTGCAGTTGGACTGCTGGATGACCTTTTCAGGAATTTTAGGTTTCTGTTCTCCTCCACATCCAGATGGGGCAGAGGCAAGGTGGGAAATGAGAAGGGAGCTTTACTCCCAGACCTCCTCTCTCTCTCAGATGTGCTAATCCTGAACTGGCTATGGTGAAGGAGAGAGGAGGCAGCATCAGTGGGTACGAAAAGGATAAATCTTGGTCTAAAGTGTTAAGTAAAACTTTCCTGTCCATGGTCACTAAGAATGTCCTTCCTGTCTTTCCCAGCCACTGCTGGCACCTAAGCTCAGCCCTTAAAGAATCCTGTGTCTTATTTTATCTTTCCACTTAAAAAAACTTACTTTCTGACAACACAGGGGAACTCAGAAACTTGTAAGCATTTGTGTTTTAGAGGAACCAAAGGCTTAAGCCAAATCTCCTAAAGGTACATTTTGAAGAAAAAGACTGACCTCCCACACTGGAGGACACAGTGAGTTGCGGGGAAAGGGAGAAGGTATGTTTTCTCTTATCCCTGAGGGAGCTCTGGAAAGCTCCCCAGCAGCAGCTCTCTGCCTTTCAGCATGGGATGGCCCCTGCCGGGTGCGCATCACCTGGCTGGAGGTGGACTGGTCCTGTCATCCTAGGAGCAGTTTCAAAGGCTGGACTGAAAGGCTTCACATGTGACCTGGAATGTCAGGATCACTAGGGACAGGAGCACGCCATGTTCATTTAGACCTCTAGTTCTCTCTGTGCTTATACTAAAAAACCCAAATCATGACACTACCACCACAAGCACACACTGCAAAGTGCTTCTAGAGAAACATCCTTGCTTAAAGTCAGAACCACGCTGCCTACCTCTCCACCACCCCACATGTGGTATTGGCTATTCACTGTCTCAGGCACTGGGGCAGAGTCTGAGGTCAGGGCAATGAACAGGACCGACATGCTCATGGCCTGATGAGGACTATGCTGTTTCTGCAAGTCCATGCACTCCATAGAAGGACAAAACACTGTTTAAAATCTGCCATTGAAGGAAACAGGTTAATCTTCTCTGTAAGGCTAAGGCCAATGCACCTTATTCTTGCTTTAATAAGATTAAATTTAATGAACTTATAAAGCACCTATAAGAAATATAAGAAAGACACAGGGTTCAGCATGAACCCTTCTGTCCAAGAAAACAAGCAAACCCAAGTACTGCAAAACAACAAATAAATATAAATATCGATTAGACTTAAAAGGATTTTGTGGTACAATTAGAAAAAATGAGTACAGCACCACCATATGCTAGATGGAAATACACATATGTTTTTTAAATTTTCAAGAAAGCCAAGAAATACCCACACATTTTCTAGGATCAATTTTTATATTATTATATATGGAGAAATATTATTATATATGGAAATATAAATTTTATATTTGATTAAAAGTTCTATAATTCTACCTAATGCCTAACTGTAAAAGGCTTTGCATTGCTACCCCTTGAGTCATCAGTTCTTGGTCTCTGCTTTCCAGTCACACAAAGAGTGTCATGTGTTGTGGCGAATATTCAACTGACACAGAGTTGGGTGCAGGCACGGGGGAAAAGGTTACCTAGTCCTCCTGCATGGGCATCAATGAGTGAGGCTGCCACTGCAGTGCCGACGGGAAGGCCGAGCTCTCTTGCTGCCTCTGGTGTTAGCCCATTTCCGAGAGAAGCCCCAGGAGACAGCACTTCATTTCCTGGGTAGAGAGGAGTGAAAACAAACACCCATCAGTTTGAGAAATAAAAAGTGAACACCGAGTTTTCTTATGGGAACTTCTTCTTTTTTTTTTTTTTTTTTTGGTACCGGGGATCAAACTCAGGATCTTGTGCTTGCAAGGCAGGTGGCAGAACCACTAAGCTAAATCCTCAACCTTATGGGAACTTCTTTGATCCCTCCTCCTTTGCTGCTTGTTTTTCCCTCAACTTCACAAAGACAGATCCATGTAGCCACAAAGAGTCCCTTTGCTCATTTGGTGACCTGGCTGTTTATACTTGGTATGTGTAGGTCATGTTTTGAGGTGCTCTACAGAGCTAGAATTCTGAGGTATTGCTCAAACCAAAGAAAAATCCCACTAATGGGAAATTCCTAAAGGAGCATAAATTCAATAGCCTCTTAAAGACCAGGGGAATGTAAACTCTGAAAGAATTTGAGAAATTTACTTGTGAAATGTTGCTTCCTATCAAATTATAAGGAGGGAAGGGAAATATTTTGTCACAAGAAAGAAAGAAAGCCCAATCTAAACCTGGCAAACATTACAAGGCTGCTACTTGCACAACTATAGAATACAATTTGACTGATGTACTTTAGAGTTGTGCAATGTACTGACCCTGACATTTGAGGCGACCTTGAATTCTTATAATTATTCAGCCCTCAGTTAATAATTTGTTGACTATCTTGCTTTCTGCTAGTACGGTAGGGCTGTAAAAGGCAGTTCTTGCTCCCAACCTAGTTAGGAAGACAAAATAAGGACAGAGATCCATGGAGTCAGGAGGGAATGCAATTATCCATCTGTTTCCAGGTGTTTAACAGAGGTGGATCCCTCTACTGTGCATCAAGGAATTCTATAATAAGTTATTTCTGCACTCTATTGACCCATACACATGCATGCACACACACACACGTACATGTACATGAACATATATATACTTAGAGCCTGCTAAAAATGTATACATATTTCAGGAAAAGAAAAATAATAAATGTCTGGAAGGTAATGGCCACCACTTGGAGCACTTCCTATAATTGTAGAGGTTGAAGGTAATTTGTATTAATCTCATGATGTTTCAATAAATTTAGTATTAAAATATTTATACAAGTTTTTCTTTTCTTGAAATGTGTATATATTTTGGGAGAATATAGATAGATAGATAGATAGATATACATATCAATATATAGCTATATATATTTCTATATATCTTTTGAGGCCCAAGATTCTAGTAGAATCTAGCACCAACCAATAGGCTTCTAGCCTGGATAGAATACAAAGTGAAAAGGAAGCTCAGTGCTGCTGCTTCCTGCCTACCCTGCCATGGACTGTTTCTCCTCTGCCATGATGCCCTGCCTCAAAGCTAGCTGACTATGGACTGAAACCTCTACAAACTGTGAACTAAAATTAAACGTTCCTCCTTTACCTTGTGTGTGTTGATATTTTGTCTTAGAAACAAGAGAACTACGATGCCTGAAACCACTGCAATGGCTTCTGACCTTTCTTGTCCAATGTACTAGCCCCTGGATACTGGATTAAATACACAAAATATGGCTGGAACAATGAGGACCTAGATTTCTCACTTTCTTTGATTTTAGTTTCCATTTAAATTTAAAAACTGATACTCAATTCAGTAACTGAAAACTTGTTTGGCATATGCTTGGGGTGATCTGGATATGTGTATCTATTTTTCAACATTAATTTATGAAATCTAACTCAGGTATTTCAAATGAAAATCTAGTGTCTGAATTGATACATGCTCAGTGGAAAATATGTAACACATGCCAAAGACTGAGTCTCAAAAATGTATGTGAAAAAACATTATTAATATTTTATGTTGAAATGGTATTTGGACATATTAAATTAAGCAAAATATTAAAATTGATTTCACCTACTTATTTACTTTTTCATGGCTACTGGAAAATTTATAGCCACATATGTGGTACATAAGATACAGCGATAGGGCAGTGCTGGCCTGGAGAACAAGGTTATGCTGCTCCAAGAGAGGCAGAAGGAAGAAAACCTCTATTTGTGTTGAATATTGATTGTTCAGGATAATAGAAATTTAGAAGAAAATATCCCCTTGGTTCTGTGCAATTTGGTTCTGGGGAATGTCTTAATTATGCCATCATATCTGGAAAAAAACAATATACATCACTCCCATGGTGAGCATTTATATGTCACTGACTACACTGAGGACACAACACACATTTTCTCACCTTTTTCATAGTAACCTTCTGTGCAGGGGACACCAATAAATATACGTTCCCAACTTTACAGATGAATGTGGAAACTGAGTTTTATAAATAGAAAATATATGTCCCAAAATATTACAATATAAGAACTGGAGACAAACTCTGCACTCTTCTTCAAATGACATCCAAAGTTGGACTGCATGGACAGAGCCAACTCCCATATACTATGCAGACAGAACCCACCCCAAGGACAATTGTTCCTGGCCAACTCCACACCTATGGATTCCTTGCCTGGGTGTGACCATCTACCAACTTCAAACTCACTCTGTGTTTTGTTCCTCTTGGCATGGAGCAGCAGAGATGCAGTTCTAGTCAGAGTAAATAAAGTAGGGCACTCTAATCAGCTTCCACATAGACATTAAATGAATGAAGTTGAATGAAATTATGAATCTGAAATAAGTCCAAGATAAATTAAGAGAAAAATAGCAAGACGTAGAGTGATATTCAGAGTATGATAATGCTTACAATATTTAAAGGTTGCGCTAAATGTAAAGACATATACTTCTAGGAAAATCCTAGAAAAATACTCAGAGGATAGTTCAGGGCTTGGGGTCCAGTGCAGGGTATTCTTCTTTATTATTTCTGCTGCTCTATACTAAGGCCTTGCATTTCTTTTGTGATCACACTAGCTTAAGTTGAAATAAAAATAAAATACCTAAGAGGAATATTGTGCATCTTTTCCAAAACCTGATCCGTGGTCTAAAGGCAGGAAAGAAGCCCAAGGGCAGTTCACCTAGATCCGGCTTGTGCATACAGCTGCACCTTGGGATGTTAACAAAGCACTTATCTTGGGGTTTTGGGGCTTGCTGAGTTCCCGTGTGGACGGGCAGATTCGGTTTGAGCGGTCAGAAGTTGGAGTCTACAATTATCTGGTGGTTACAGTCCCTCTTCACAGGCAGGGGCTCCTATTACACCAAATCTTCCCCTACCAGTTTTTCAATTATCTATGACTAATGAGCACTTTGGGAACAGTTTCAGACATACACATAATCCTCTTTCCTGATGTCAGCAGCAGAAATTAATGACTATATGGATTGCTGGCAGACAGAAAATGCATTATAATGGTCAACAGAACTGTTATCCTCTCCAGAAAGGGGGTGAGGTGTTGAATTAAGTGGAAGATTCTGTGCCCCTTTGCATTCCTGCAGGGAGGTGAAATCCAGGGAAAGAGCTGGCCTCAGACTCATAGGAATGTCAGAGAGGTCTGGGTGTGGGTGGCATGATTGGCACTGGGGAAGGGGGGGGGTCCCAGCTTAGTTTTGCCAAAGTCAACGGGCCAACTAGACTGGCTGGGACAGAGCAAAGTGATGCCCTGCTCTGCCAGCAGAGAGGGTACTGGTGCACTTCAGATGGATCTGACTTGTAATCTTGTTTAGGGAAGGGGAACATACAACTCAAGAACATACAACTCTCCAACAATGGGCTGGAGTTATTTTTAAAGTATGTGGTGGCAGATGTAAATCTGGTACCTCACACAGGCATAACACATGCTTAGGAAGTTTCAGAGACTGTTCAGACCTAGCCTGACTCAGGTGAGGCTCCAAAGTTACAAGAAGCGTGAAATCTCAAAAGGTGAAACACAATGCCATCTATGTGCACATGGCTGCCAGGAGACTGGGCCGCTGACAGTAATTTTGAAAGAACTAACAGAATTAGGGGCTTCTCTCATATCCAGCACCCGAATTTACCTACATAGACCCCAGATCACTTAGCTTGGTCACCTGGATTTGGGAGTCTCCTAAATTGGGAGAAAACAATTGGTGAATGACTGATTGAAAAACATTACAGAAATTCTGGCTCCTTAATTGGATTATGCACCTCTAGAACAAGTCACAAACCCCAGAAATGAATGAGGAATCCAAACTTGAGATGCCCTCCCACCTGCTGGAAAACATCTTCTGAAACAGTAATAAGTTCCTTTCCCTTCATTTACCTCCTAAGAATACTCATTTTAAATGAGAACTAAATTCTACTTTACATTATTTATTTAATATAAAACTTTATGATATCCTCATTAGTCATTATAGAAATATGTACTGTGTACTTACTACGTGCCAAGCATTGTCCCAGTGCTAAAGATGCAGTAAGGATCAAGGGAGATGAGATCCCTGCCCCCACACGTCTCACTTTCTTGTAGACTCCACCCCTAACCAACACCTCACCTACTTATACCTTGTAGTTATTACAGTTTGTAAGCTCCGCTGTAGTTTAGGCTGTGCTTTATATTTCTGTGAGTCCTTGACCTTATATTTTGACCTGTAGTAGGTATTTAATACATAAGCAAATCAGTTTTAATCTATTTTAAAATAATCTTTGTGTTGTTTTTACCCCATATCTCTATCCACTCCTCACTAGAAAAAGACTAGCTTAATGATTATTTTATTTATCTCTGTATTCATTTCCTCTGCTGTCCAACAGCCAACTGTGTCTAAGGAACAGGAGTTGCTAGCAAGGTTCATTTACCAAATTTATACCTTTTGAAAAGAGACAATAAGACCCAGATGAATCAACTTATACAAGAAAATTAAACATACGCACATGTACCTATTCATATAGGATGCTGAATTTCAGTTGAGAGAGTAAGGAGAAGAGACTATTAAGTGTAACCCTCAATCTTGAATACCACAGGATAAGAGATAAGGAATATATTTCCTCATATAATCTCACCAGTAATACGCTCTTATCTCTCTAACTCAGGGACAATGGAATCTATCAAGGCCAACACACATGCTTAGAAAA